TGCAGACATGTGAGCAAATGCAGCCAAGATCAGCCAAGTTTGGCCCAGATCAGTAAATGGCACAGCTGACCCATAGATTCATAAGCGACTCACTGTTGTTTGAAACATTAAGTATTGAGGTATTTTCTTACAGTAAAAATTAACTGTTACATGCCCCAAGCTATTAAAACACACAAACACATTCTAAACTACCCTGTAGTTCTTTAACATTTCTCATAGTCTAAGTCTCATATACATGAGCAGGGGTTACCAGACCTTACCTCTCATGTATCCTGGGCTGGGTAAAATTCTATAATGAACCCACTTATACCTGGATCAGAGATGTGGTTATAATTTTCCTTCTAGCCTTATGCTTCCCTTTAAATTTCTCTCCAACCGATTTCCTATTGAGTTTGAATAATTTCAAAACAATCTCATTAGCAATGTGTGTTATATGGTTTATAATTTTTGTGTATCCTGGGGTGAGAGGAAAGGGGGGTGTATTGGAAACCCAGTGGGGTGAAGGAGAGACCAAAACTTACATGAAATCACATGTTAAAGGGAATCAAGGACTATATGTAAACAGTTTCTTGCAATATCCACTTTTTTTTTCCTGCTTTAAATAAAAATAGAAGCAACATCAACTTTCAGACCATGGCCTAAAATTCTTCCCAGGCTTTCCTCAAACACACATGTTAGTAATCCACTTATTTATCTACTAGTGGCCCGGTGCACGAAATTCGTGCACATCAAAAGGGAATTAATTAGAGGAAATATTTTAATATTGCTATTTGCCCTTTCTCTATAATAGAAGAGATGAAAGGAAATTAGTAAAATGTATATGAAAATCTCCTTCCTGTCAGAGTCTGGGGTGCACTGCGGGACCCAGAGACAAATCCCTGCCCACCACCTGCATGCACTTCGAAAACACAGGAGACCCAGATCCGGTTGGCCCCACCCCCATTGGGTAAGGCCCAGACCTGGACAGCCCCACCCCTGTCAAGCCCCTCCGGTGGGGGGTGCAGCCTCAGGTCCCCCAGCCCGGCACGTGGGCAGAGGGCATGGCCTGAGGTCCCTGTCAAGCCCCGCAGGCTGGGGGGCACAGCCTCAGGTCCCCATGAAGCCCCGCAGAGCAAGGGGAGTGGCCTGAGGCCTCTGTCAAGCCCTGCAGGTGAGGGGCGCAGCCGGGGTGGGGGCCATGGCCTGAGGTTTCCCGTCAAGCCCCACCAGGAAGGGGGTGCAGCCTGAGGTCCCCTGTCAAGCCCTGTGGGATGGGGGGTGTGGCCTGAGGGCCCTGTCAAGCCCCACCAGGCGAGGGGCATGGCCTGAGGTAACCACCAAGCTCAACCAGGCCAGGGGGTGCGGCCTGAGGTCCCCTGGCTTGACACCGGGGTGGAGGGTGCGGCCTGAGGTCCCCCGTCAAGCCCCACCAGGCAGAGGGCGCAGCCTGAGGTCCCCTGTCAGGCCCCACAAGGTGGGGGATGTGGCCTGAGGTCCCCATCTAGCCCTGCGGGGTGGGAATGCGGCCTGAGGTCCCTGTCAAGACCAGCCAGGCAGAGGGCATGGCCTGAGGTCCCCATTAAGCCCCCCCAGCCGGGGGGGGGGGGCGCAGCATGAGGTCTCCCGGCCCAGCACCCAGGTGGGGCCGCAGCCTGAGGTCCCCTGTCAAGCCCCGCGGGGTGGGGGACGCGGCCTGAGGTCTCCCAGCACAGCGCCGGGACGGGGGGCATGGCCCGAGGTCTCCCGGCCATGTGCCAGGGTGGAGGGCACGGCCTGAGGTCCCCATCAAGCCCCGCTGGGGCAGGGGGTGTGGCATGAGGTCTCCTGGCTCATCGTTGGGGCGGGGACACACCCTGAGGTCCCCTGTCAAGCCCGTCAGGCAGGGGCTGTGGCCTCAGGTCCCCATCAAGTCCCACTGGGGTGGGGGGCACAGCCCGAGGTCCCACATCAAGCTCTGCCGGGCAGGGGGCGTGGCCTGAGGTCCCTCGCCCTGGCCAGGTGCCATGCAGCCTCAGGTCCCTGCTGTTCGGTTGAAACATTACGTTGTCCTGGCTAATTTGCATATTCCTCTATTATATAGATAGATTGCTTAATTTCTTCAACAAATATGGAGTACACAGAAAGGATGTCAAATTGTAGCAGACATGTGCATTTGCATAGATATTCTTCCCCCCAAAAGAGAGTTTTCAAGCCAGTGAAACTAACATAGTCCCATAGAACGATTCATAGGGGAAAACCTGCGAGTAGGGCATCTATCCACAGGTTTTAGTGGACTGTCCAGGCAACCACAGAAATCAGGTACACAGAGCCAATCCGGTTTTCTCCAGAGCTTTCCGTACATGTATCCAGGAACAGAACATAGAAGAATATGTTCCCTGACAAACTCTAGCTCCCTGACAAACTCTAGCTCCTAGCATCACAAGTGCTCCGATAATCGACAGGTGGCTCTGGACCACCTGTGAATGCCAGTCGGCAGATGCTGAGTGTCAGACTTGGTGTCTAGTTGGAAGGAATGAGTGTGAGACATTGCTGCCCTCCCACGGTGTTTAGGTTGTGTGTGTGTGTTTTAAAATCATCCTTTTATTATTCTTGAGTATAAGAACCTAATAATTTTAAATGCCTTCTTTGTAATTCAATTGTAAATTGCAATGTCAAGCTTATTGTAAATTCTAAACCTAACATGAGTGGAGAGTTGTTTTTTTTAAAAATATATTTTTATTAATTTCAGAGAGGAAGGGAGAGGTGATAGAAACATCAATGATGAGAGAGAATCATTGATCGGCTGCCTCATGCACGCCCCACACAGGGGATCAAGCCTGCAACCCAGGCATGTGCCCTGACTGGGAATCAAACAGTGACCTCTTGGTTCATAAGTTGATGCTCAACCACTGGCCATGCCGGCCGGGCTTGAGTGGAGATCTTTAAAATATATATTGTCTCTTAGGAGCAGGTAAGGATCGAAAAACTCATAACCTAATTAATCAAGCCCTAGACTTGACTTTAGGTGAGGTTCCCTTGGGTAGGTTGTGTTTTGTATCAAGCCTTTCTCAGCCTGAGAGTGTAATGTGGCCAGTGAGTCAACTGTACTTAACACTAAAAAATGAGCCAAACAAGCTTCCACCGAGCAATTGTGGAATGCAGAGGTTTGATACCCACTCCAGTGGTCGGCAAACTGCGGCTCTTTGGCCCCTTGAGTGTGGCTCTTCCACAAAATACCGACTTCTGCACATGGGCCACGAAGTTTCAATCGCCCGCATGTGGTATTTTGTGGAAGAGCCACACTCAAGGGGCCAAAGAGCCACATGTGGCTCGCGAGCTGCAGTTTGCCGACCACGGCACTAGGCCATTCAGAAGATTGCACGACAGCCGTGGGACCTCAAACACTCAGCACCTTTGAAAGGTTACAGGTGGGTGTTGGTTACAGGAAGTGTGGACCCAACATAACCCACGAGGACATGTTCTGCCCCAGGGCCTTCTCAGAATGAGGGGTTCCGGAAGGGGATTTGCCAAGAAGAGTGGACAAGTTGAGGGAAAGACACATTTGGTCCTCAATTTAGGCGAAAGAGATGTGTTTAGGATTCACATCACAGTTGGAGCTGGGCTTCCTGCTACTATTAGGTTGGAAAACAAATGCCTCGTCATTATGAGATGATGTCTTTGCTGCTGTGCCTTCTGCGTTCCTCCGGTTAAAAATTTATGTCAAAATAATTATAGAAAAAAATGTATGACATAGAACAGCTGTGACCCGTTCCGCCTACAGCTTGTCGCTGACAGGGCCGCAGTAGATGGTACAGGAAGACCACAGACTGAGCGGCAGGGGGGTTGCTCACCGACTGGGAAGAGAGGCTTTAAGAGACAGCAGAAATGATCCCGACAAGCTACGCAACCTGTAGAGAAGGGCGCGGCGGCAGTATCAGAGGAGGTTCAAACAAGAAAAACAAATCATGTTTTCCACCCTTGCCTTTCCTTCTGTTAGAGAAGTGTGAGTGTCAGATTTCAAAATTACCCAGAAGGCTTATCTTTGAGCCCAGGATCTGTCATCGATGACAGAGTTGCTGGCAGGTAATGCCCTACACTGAGGCCCCTGGCACATGAATGAACCAGGAACTTAGGCAGCCAAGCCAGGAACCAGACCCAAAAGCTTCTGACATCCTTAGCCACCCACCACGAGTGAACAGGCAACAGTTGTCCCCAGGTTGGATGTGGGGAAGGTGTGACGTTTTGATTTTCAAATGTCATCTGTGCATTTAATGCTTGTTAATTCCTGGTAATGAGCTGCTCTTTTCTGGGGAGTTTGGCATAAGAATGCCAGGAAATGGATGAAGCAGAACATGTCTGCTGCATATTTCAACTCCTGGGAGTGCTAGAATGGAGTGGGGCGTGGAAACATGCCCAAAAGGCAATATTGCGTGAATTAATTACCTGCAGTTAGTCATGAATTGTGTTATGTGTATTTTGAACACAAGAGCGATTGCTAAAATAGCTTTATTTTCAGGGCTTTCCATGTATTATCTCATTTAATTCTTATAGCATCTCTAGGGAGCAGGTACTGTTTTTAACTCAATTTCACATAGGAGGAAACTGAGGCATGGAGAGGCTAAATAACTTGCCCAAGGCCATGCATATTGTAAGTGTCTGAGACGGGATTTGGACAAATATTGTCTATGCTGCCTTTCAGTGTTCATAGATGTGCAGATATGGTTTTTGTCTGTTCTATTTCTATTTGAAACTACATCTTCTTTTACTTATTATGTTTATCAACAACTTGGTCCTAATCTATCTGAGTTATTTATACACTAGAGGCCCAGTGCATGAAATTTGTGCAAGGGGCTCGGTCCTTGCAGCCCCAGCTTCCTCTGGAAGGTTGTCCGGGATGTTGTCCGGAAGGTTTTTCGGCCGTCCAGTCTAATTAGCATATTATGCTTTTATTATTATAGATAATTTTCCTGTTGAGCACGGAGTCTCAGTTCATCTCTAACCTTTTACATTAACAAATCTGAAGAAACCCAGTCTCTTCTTACCTCTTATCCACACGTTTAGTCTTGAAACGCGGCTGCTTTTCCTCTACGAATGACGTGTTTAGCGCTCTGTGTAATCTCTGGCAGAAAGAACAGAGTCACACACAGAGGTTATTAGAAACACACAGTCAGGGCCAAAGCACTGCCTGAGATTCAACGGTGTATCTCGTCATTACAAGCCTTGGCCTCTGTAAACAAATGTCCAGAGGTGCCCGAAACAGATCAACATTCAGCCTCAAATCTCAAGAGAACAAAAATTCTAAGTCTACTAGTAAGTTATTCTACAAGGAGGGGAAAAAAGTAATTTGATAGGAAGCTTAGAAAAGCTCTGGGTTGTAAAAAGGTATGTGATATATAGAAGAGCTGTCATGACTAAGGTGTGACAAAGGGCCCAGTGCACTTGCTAAAGGTGAGTTAAAAAAAAAAAAAAAAAAAAAAAGTCTGCCCCAGTCATAGGCAGCTGCCTAGGTTGCTATGTACTTAGGTAAGTGTTACACAGCTGGGAGAACAGCAGCCAGAAGCTGGTTGGCATTCTGGGCCTGGTTCATACCAACTCTGTTGTTAACTATACCAGGATGCCTGCATAATAAAAAAAAAAAAAAGAAGAAGAAGAAGTCTGAACTCCCCAGCAGCTAAAACAAAGAAGGAAAGAACACTTGAGAACAAAACTGATCTGTGGAGTTCTCTTTTTTAAAAAATATGTCTTGATTTTAGAGAGAGGAAGGGAGAGCGGTAGAGAGATACAAACATTGATGAGAGAGCCCCCACCAGGGACTGAGCCCGCAACCAGGGCACATGCCTTGATTGGGAATCGAACCGGTGACCTCTGGTTCATGGGTTGACCCTCAACCGCTGAGCCACACCAGGCAGACCGGAGTTCTCCTTAAGAGACCAAATATTTCCCAGGATGAAGGTAGGAAAACAGGGTTCAAGTGTAACCAAGCCAGTGATAGTAACCTACCTGGAAAAAAAAAGTACTGTGACAACAGAGTGGTCAGCAAAACAGATGAATGGGGCAAAAGTGGCCCCATTTTCTGTACCATTGAAAATTCAGAGAGAACCAGGGCCGGTGGGCTCAAAGGGAATCAGGGACTTCAAGCTCCCTCAACCGCTGAGCCACACCAGGCAGACCGGAGTTCTCCTTAAGAGACCAAATATTTCCCAGGATGAAGGTAGGAAAACAGGGTTCAAGTGTAACCAAGCCAGTGATAGTAACCTACCTGGAAAAAAAAAAGTACTGTGACAACAGAGTGGTCAGCAAAACAGATGAATGGGGCAAAAGTGGCCCCATTTTCTGTACCATTGAAAATTCAGAGAGAACCAGGGCCGGTGGGCTCAAAGGGAATCAGGGACTTCAAGCTCATTTAATGGGTTTCAATTTTAGCATGAGAAGAATCTGTAGGGAAAAAAATCTTTCACAACAGCTCCTCAGATTGCTACTATTTAAGTGAAACCAGGTTTAAAAAAACCCAATTCTATTGCTTCCATTGTGAGCAGCAGTGGAGGGTTATAGAAAAGGAAGGGGCTTTATGGGAGAGCTTAATTTAAGGGGAAAGTGAATGAATGGGATGGAGGAGACTGCCCTGTACACGGAGGGTGTCCACCACCTCAGTTCTCTAGGTAACGTGTCACTGTCGGTCTGACTTGGGGCTCGGGATCCTCCCACTACTGGGAATCCTGACGGTTGGGAGCGGAGCAAGAGGCCCGCGGCACTCACCTGACTGGTGTGGAGCCAGTACTGCCTCGACTTGTTTCTATTGCTTCCATTGTGAGCAGCAGTGGAGGGTTATAGAAAAGGAAGGGGCTTTATGGGAGAGCTTAATTTAAGGGGAAAGTGAATGAATGGGATGGAGGAGACTGCCCTGTACACGGAGGGTGTCCACCACCTCAGTTCTCTAGGTAACGTGTCACTGTCGGTCTGACTTGGGGCTCGGGATCCTCCCACTACTGGGAATCCTGACGGTTGGGAGCGGAGCAAGAGGCCCGCGGCACTCACCTGACTGGTGTGGAGCCAGTACTGCAGCCTCGACTTGTTCTTGATTCGTGGTAGCAGCAGCCTGTACACGATGTGCTCACCAATGGCTGTCAAGATGGACAGACCCAACCCGGCGCAGAGCAGCACGAAGAGCCCAGAGAAGTGCTTGATGCCCATCTGCAAAGTCTGGGGCAGAACAGAAAGGAGAGGCCATGGGTGTGATGCTCCATTTGCACCCACACTTGTTCGTTCGTGGATGCAGATTCTTTTTCTCCTAGATCCCGAGGATGCGGAGTCTGTCCCCCCTGTGTGCCCTGTGTACCCCACTTCCACTGCACTGTGAAAGCAGTCCAGTCAGGATGGAGCGCAGGTCCTGGGGTCCCACTCACACACAGTCCTGTTGTATGAATGGCCTTGGACTTGTGCAGAGGCCCTGAGTCTGAACCATGCGACAGCCTCTACAGAGGCAGTGAGAGAGAGTCTGAGGGATGAAACAATTTGATATATTAAAACAGTGAATAGTTATCAAGAAAAGAATCTCTCTCAGGGACGTAGAATGAGTAGGTTTCAGGGGAAAAGATGATATTTTCAAAAATTTTGAAATGTAGCTCTGGCAGGAAACACAGAGATCAACTAGTTCCATGTACTCATTTTACAGATGCAGAACCTAGGAGCAGAGAAATGAGATAAATTGAGCGAGGTCCCCAGATTAGTCAGCCACGGAGGAGAAATTGAAGCCACCTAATGTTTGTCGATTGCTTACTCTTTTGCCCGGAGATAGGTATTATAACTGCAATTTATAGTTGAGGAAACGGAGGTCCCTGCAGGTTTTAGGTGACAGAGTTGGTCTGCAAGTCCAAGTTTGTTTTGCTCCGAAGCCTGGGCTCTGCTGCCGTTCCAGCAACCACAGTACCAATAACTACATGTGGCCGCACTTGGCTAGGCGATTTACATGTGCTGCCTAAGGGGACCCTCCCGAGTTCTCTACGACACAGGTATTATTCCGTCACTGACATCGACGGCAAGAGTCAGTCATGCAGAAGGATGGACCTTGGATAGGTTGAGTGCCTACTGCGTGCCAGGCACTCTTCCAAGTCCCACGGGATGGAGACAGGAGGGTTTTGTCCTTGCCTTTAATCAGCCTGAGTCTGGGGAGGAAGCAAACCTGTATAGTATCAGATATTTACATTACGATTCATAACAGTAGCAAAATTACAGTTATGAAATAGCAACGAAAATAATTTTATGGTTGGGGGTCACCACAACATGAGGAACTGTATTAAAGGGTCACGGCATTAAGAAGGTTGAGAACCACAGGTATACCCTGTGTACCTGACCACACCCCCTGGGCTCTGTGGAGAGGCTGACTCAGGAGGTAAGATTTAGAGTAAGAGAGGCAGACGGGGAGGCTCGCCTGGAAAAGTACCCGTTCTAAGCTTATGGTGGTGGAAACAAAGAAGGAAAGGCGTGACCTTCTGGCACAGTGATGCAGGGGGTTGTGAAAGGGACTGCGACTTAGGGGTAGGGTGCATGAGGCATGCGTCGTGAGGGAGGGCAAGCCCTGGGATGCCTGGGTGTCAGCCCTTTGCTGGAGGCTTTCTGTCATCCTCATCCTCACATCATTTATTTAACACTTAATATGTGGAGGGCACAGTTCTGAGCTCTTTATCAGTGCAGCAACTTGTTTAATATTCATAACGACCTATCAGGTGGGTCCTGTTATCTCCATCTTATAGGCGAGGAAATTTAGGAACAAACGAGTGAAGTAACTTGGTCAAGGTCGCAGAACTAGGAAAGGTTAGAGCTGGGGTTTGAACCCAGGCAGTCTGGCTCCAGAGCCTACACTCTTTTTTTTTTTAAAGTTTTTATTGATTTTTAGAGAGAGAGGAAGGGAGAGAGATAGAAACATCAATATCAACATTAACCTGCTGCCTCCTGCACGCTCCTTACTGGGGATCGAGCTCAAAACTCGGGCATGTGCCCTGACCTGGAGTTGAACCAGTAGGTCGCAGAACTAGGAAAGGTTAGAGCTGGGGTTTGAACCCAGGCAGTCTGGCTCCAGAGCCTACACTCTTTTTTTTTTTAAAGTTTTTATTGATTTTTAGAGAGAGAGGAAGGGAGAGAGATAGAAACATCAACATCAACATCAACATCAACCTGCTGCCTCCTGCACGCTCCTTACTGGGGATTGAGCTCAAAACTCGGGCATGTGCCCTGACCTGGAATTGAACCAGCAACTTCTGGGTGCATGGGACAACACTCCACCAGTGAGCCACACCAGCTGGCCAGAGCCTACCCTCTTAAACAACTCGTTTGACTGATGTGGGTGAGCCTCCCATCCTCTTGAAGAGATTTCCCTTTCTTTCATTTTCCCTACCTCCACTCCCAGTCCGGGAGAAACTGCCAGCCAGGCACGGTTCAGGCATGGCTAGGCCTCCTGGGTATTCCAGGAAGTGTATCTAGGGGGCAGGGTTCAGGGGAAGAGCTTGGAGACCTCAGGCTTTGGTGGAGCCTGGGCCACAGATCTGGTTTCCTCCATGACGCTAGTTCAGGCTGTGGCTCAGGCTCTAAGATTGCTGGTGAACTAATGACTACAGGTGAGCAGGGACATAGCAGGTCCAGATCCAGGGGGCTGAGACACAGGCAGGAAGAGTGGGCCGACCACCCGAGGATGCCAGTGGAAGCCAGCCCTAGGGAGAGGAATGCTGGGCCCCAGTAGGGCTCTGTGAGGAGGTGTACGGGGCCCGAGGGCTACACAGGTACTGGAGCTTTCCTGGGACATCTCTCTACAGGTGGTGTCCATTATATAACTTCATCTCTGGAAAGTATATGCAAATGTGTTTGGAAATAGCTTTTGGCCTGCACCTGTCGTAATGGATACAGGAACTAGCCATCACAGAAGGACTCAGTGTGCTATTACCGCTACGGATAAAGAGGAAACTGCGGCAATTCACTTTGGACTTGAACATCATCAACCATTCAGCAAAACACTAAACAGACTGGCACTGCTTTCTGAGAAGGCGCTGCCAAGATGAAGAAGAAAAGTGTAACACACAGTGAGTCATCTCGCCTTTAAACACACGGCTTCCCTCTGTGTGTCCTTGTGCAGCCAATAGTCTCATTTTCCTCTTACCACCTCAGTAACGAAGAGGCTGTTTCAGCTTATTTTATACCTCTCTTCCTTTCAATTTCTGTTGTTTACACCCACACACTAATGGACAAATAGAAGTGGTTACTTTTTAAAACTGGGCATCTAATATGTGGACCGGATACCACATACGTGTAGTATGATCTTCTAATCACCCCGTTAAGTTAAATACTATTATCCCCATTTCACAGTCGAGGAAACTGAGGCTCATAGAGACTAACGACCTAACCCACGATCACACGGCTAACGAATGGGGAGCCAGGCTGTGGATCCAGGTCTGTCTGTGGCCAAAGCACACGTTGCCTTTCAAACGAACACCATTGACAGATCCCTGGCCATCTGAGCTCTGTCTATTCCCTCTAACAACTCGCAGACATTTTTATTCAAAACTCACCGTCTGAATTGAAAACCCGCAGTAACCTGCCTGTGAGCGCCACCGGAAATGTTTACATTGTGTCTGAGCCTGAGTGTGCGATGCACAGCTGCAGCCGCAGTTCGGCTGCTCGTCCCCGAGGACCAGGGTGAGCGCGCTGCACTTTTCCAGCCGAGCCTCCCCTTCTGCCTCTCTTACTCTT